TGGCCTTCATATCAAGACAGAAAATTCCATCAATTTGGATTTTTGCATAGCTGGTCTTAAGGAAGATCTTTGAGATATGTGTCATCAGTCAACTACTTTGATGGAGTGTGTGTGACAGGTGCTGCTGTGCGTTCTGGAGGAGGCTCTGCCTGCAGTGGACATGTGGCCCTTTTGGGAGGAGCTTGGAAATTTAGCAGCTGTGGCTTGCCCAATGGTGAGCTAAAAGAAAGCAAAAAAAACAAACAAACAAAAGTTTAAATTGCTTTTCTAATTCACATAAACAAAGGTGCATTTGAACAACATGAAAAATAAAGGGTGCCTTTATAAAGTTAAGTGATTTTGCTTATAGAAAAACAAAAATCAAACAACACAACAATATTAAAGTCTGTTGTTTTAATTCCTATGTTATAGGCATCTTCTCATGCACCCCTGGACTGCTTCCAGCATACCTGATTTTATTTTTTTAAGATCAGTCCGATTATCACCATTTGCACTGAGAACTGAGATTTCACCACTGACCAAAAAACCCCCCCAAAACATCAACTTTTGTTAAATTTTTTGTTGAAATCTTTTTCTTTTGACAGAATTTTTATTGGTGATGAGAGTTTGGGCTTGGGCTAAAACCCAAAGACCAAACTACAGTTTCCAGTATAAAACTTTGGTGCTCTGGTGAGTCCTCGAGAGTCAGATTATCAATGCAGACATCAACTATAAGGTCCTGGAGAAACCAGCTGATGTGAAAAATAATGCAAATTTAAGTGCAAAGTTACTTGAAAACCCTAGAGGGAGCAGTCTAAAAGCAAAAGCTGTGCTAGATGTGGTCCGAGATACGCAACAACATGACCTTGAAGCTAAAACTGTGCCAAGTTTCCTAAGTATATGACTGCAAGACTCGTAAAGGAACAGTGTCGATGCATCACATCACATACCTGCGTAACAGGATGATGCCGTTCGACTACCACAGAGCTCATGGGTGGAGCCACTCCCATCACCTGCAGGCTGCTACGTCCCACCTTACTGATCTCATGGCGCGCAGTGACACGAGCCGTTACAGTCTTTGAGGATTTTTGTTGACTTGCTGTGATGACACGAGTACCTACCTGAAACAAGCAATATTTTTAGTGTTATATACAAATGTGATTTTTGATGAAGAGCTTTAGATGGCATAGTACAGACAACAAAGCAGGACATAGATTCAGCTGCTGTTGGTAGTTTGTCTCTATATGTCTGACACTAACCTTTTTGTGGGAACTTGCAATTCCCCCAAGAGGGAGTGAGCTGTGCACCACTGTAGTGGGAGGGAGTGCTTCTTCTTGGGACACGGGGGCACCAGAGCCCATCTACAAATAAAGGCAACAAGTGAACACAGGATCAGGATTTGGGATTTAGAGGAAGTTAGTCATAGTGCATCTAATTAAAACAAAAAGTATAACAAAGGAAATTCAAGACTTCTCTACAAATTCTTCATTTTTAGGGCAATCACATGATTTATATGTGAAGCCAGAATTGTCTGCGACATAAAGTCATAAATAATCAAAAGAACAAAATGATCCACGTGAAAGGACACGCTTAACATTCAATAAATAAATTTCAAGAACCACGAGTGATTTGGAAAGACACTGTACTATGGTGTGTTTCCATTATAAATTAACAGTGACTTGCCACATCATCTGCTTCACTGTGCGACGGGTCTGGGTGGTCAAAATGGACTGGACTGAACTGTGTGGAAGAGGTGGCATATGGCTGGAGCTGAGCCATGGCAGAGGAGCCACGCTCATCCTCACGAGGCAGAGGAACTACGACACAAAAAAGAAACCTTCATTGAGTCATTAGGACTCAGTAATAACTCATTTTTATTGTAGTTACGCAAAAATCCCCTTTTAAACTGGAAATCCTGAGTTTGTATTTGAATGAGGATATTTCAATGATCTCTTCCTTGTCAGATGACACATAAAGTACCCATTTTAAACCACAGGTGTAGCAGGACCTGGGGATTCATAACTTCTGCAAAAGTCCTATAAAGCAGCGGTCCCCAACCTTTTTTGCGCCACGGACCGGTTTATGCCCGACAATATTTTCACGGACCGGCCTTTAAGGTGTCGCGGATAAGTACAACAAAAACTAGTACCGGTACCGAAAAAAAGAAAATTTATTCATAACGTGAAAAGACCAAGGAAAACCGAGTAAACGATAAAAACGATAACAAAATAACGCTGAAAACCGATAAAAACCCTGAAAACCATACATTTCACCCCTGAGCCAGAAACTCTCGTGGCCCGGTACCAAATGACTCACGGACCGGTACCGGTCCGAGGCCCGGGGGTTGGGGACCGCTGCTATAAAGTATAAAATATATAAATATGTGCAGTTTAAAAAAAATCCAAAGGAGAAAAAAAAGTGCAAATTTTTAAAGCAACAGGAAAGGGTAATCAATTAACTGCCCCGGCTGACAGCATCATATTAACATACATTTCAGTTTGGAAGACTCATTAAACCTGAAAGCAGATGGATGAGCAGATGCCCATGCTAGGCTTCATTTCTACATGCTAAAGATAGTAAGATCCAAGTCCAGAAGCCATGGTATCAACAAAAAACCAAAAAAACCAAAAACAGATTCAGACAACAAATCTGACGACAGGTGGTGTAAATATAATGATGAGATATTTTTCCCAACTCATGCCAGTGGGACGTCTTGGTGATAATCATTTGATGCTAGCATTTTAAACACCGCTGGTCCGAGTTTAAGGTTTTCTACTGAAGTGTCAGGTAATAGTCCAAAGCTCTTAATCCGATCTTCCCAGCATTTACATACAACTAAATAACATTCATTACATGATTCATAACATGGTTCAAAGGGGTTTTAAATTTTATCAACCAGTTTTTCATTGCCACATTAAGCTTGCCAACCTGTGCAAAGTACGTTTTGCGCAGTGCTGAGCATATTCACAGATTTAACTTCATTAAATGAGGCTTTCAAAGACCCCATTCCCTCCTCTCAATCATAAATCTCAACAAACGTCAATAGCACATGGCTGCACTCTATTGGAAAAATGCTGTTTCCATCATGTCTTTTCGTTTCAATCTCCAAAACTGCGCTAAATCAATACACCGCAGAGACAAGGCTCACGATGCAACCACGGTACATTGTATAGAGCATCAGTCTATATATCATCCTAGCAGTACATGCTTTAGTGTGCTACATTTCTACGAAGATAAATGTTTTTCTCCACAGGCCACAAATTTACTACAAACCATGCTGATCATGAGCTGGAGGTTGTTCTGCTCGTCCTTCTGTAGAGTGAAACATGCTGAGCGCCTCCATGTTGAGAGCACATACACCCCTCATGAAGGCTTTCTTCATGGATTCTTCATATCGCTCTCGCTCTAGTCGTAGTCTCTGAATCTCCACCTGTGCCCGCTCTATAGCCTCACAGTGCTGTGCACACAGGTAGCAAAGGATAGAAAGAATTGTTGAATTATCTTTTTATATAATTATTTTTTTAAAAGAAGAAAAACACAAGATGTGCATTTAAAACAAAAAACATTTGATTATTATGGTACAGCCTAATAAAAACACGAAAACATGAAGCCCTATGTAGGATGTATTTTTGGTTGCCTTTTCTCCATCGGCACGTGCTCTACAGTGATTTGGAGAGCACACAGAAGTAATTAACAGTAATTAAGGTGGTAGAGTGGGTCAGTGTTGGGGAGTAACGGAATACATGTACCGGCGTTATGTATTTAAAATACAAAACATGAGTAACTGTATTCCATTACAGTTACCGTTTAAAAAGGTGATATTGAAATAAATGGATTACACGGTGGTCTTTTCCTGTTTCATATGTTCGGCTATGCTCTCTCTATTTTTGGTAATTCCACGCTGGTGGAAACCCAAACAAAACACGCATTAAGAGGCTCTAATGCCTGTGTCTCAATCTCGCGGCCCATGCAGCCCGCATAATGAGGTGAAGAAATATTTTTAAAAATTATTCACAAAAATGATTTAATATGAAGGCAATAGGCAGAGTGTTACAGTCATAGCTCTAAAGAATGTAGCCTCATGGGCAGTGTAGTCCGTGCTGCAGGGAGAATGGACTGCCATACCCGTTATGTGTCTGTGAGCGCGAGGAGGGAGAAAAAGAGTTGAAAAGTACGAGTTGCAACCGACCCGAAACAGGAGATGGAAGCATGTAAATATAATAATAACCACTGCAGCCAAAAAGAGAGTGCCTGACGAGCCCAATTGTAAGTAAGCTATTAAAACTCGACTGTACACTGTGTTCGTGTTTTCCTCCGAAACAATAAGTTCCGTTGGAGCAGCCTTTCAACGCCTCTCTCTGTCTCTCGCTAGAAACGTTGACCCAGACAACAAAGTAAAGCTAGTTTTCAGCTACGAGTCCGACACGGAACCCGACATATTAGCCAGAGGTCCCTTCACAGTTTTATATGTTATATTTGTTTTATATACACGCGAAATAGTTTTCTATACGAGATCGCTGCAAAAAGTGCAGCCTTACCTAATGTCCACCCTACTGTTACTCATTTTATATTAAGATTTAAAAATCTAGTTGGTATTGGTATTTCAGTAACAGTAATAAATCACACAGCAATAGTACATTCATGTAGTTGTAAAAAGCATGATAATATTATTAAGTAATCCAAAGTATTCAGAATACGTTACTGTCATTGAGTAACGTAACGGAGTACGTTACAAAATACACTTTTGGGGCATGTATTCTTTAATCT